TATTCCTAGGCAGCTGGCCAGTGTTTTGTTTATGTCAGCAGTAAAATGCGATCCTTGATCGCTTTTAATGATACGTGGAGGACCAAACCTGGGTATAATTTTATTAAGGAGTATTTTTATTACTTGTTGTGCTGTAGCTCTTCTGGTGGGGAAAGCTTCTACCCACCCCTTGAGTTGATCTACAATTACTAGGAGGTTTTTGTACCCATTGTCTTTAGGCATCTCAGCAAAATCTATTTGTAGTCTTTCAAAGGGAGTATAAACCCAAGGGCGGGCTCCAGGGGGGTCCTGATTTTTCTCCTTTGATATTAAACTTTTTGCATATACTGCAGTGTTCTAAAAGGCTTTTTGCTTCCTGGTAAACTCCGGGTGCGTAGAACAGCCTGTTAGTGATAGTGGCAAGTTTTTCACAACCTAAATGCTCGCTTTGATGGAGTTGTTGCAGATAGGGTCTAAGGGCCGCTTTAGGTAGCACTATCTTTTCATCTGGCAATTGTCATATTTCATCTTTTTCACAGGTGGCTCCAGCCGCTTTCCATCTCTGTTGTTCTAAAGGTGGTGCAGACTCGTACATTTTTAGCTCTAGCAATATTCCCAAATATGCCTTTGGCTGAGGAGTTTGAGCTTGGAAGGCTAGGGCGGATAGTGGCTGTAAGGCTGCTGTTTGAGCTGCAGCATTGGCTAGGGCATTGCCTTTTGAGACTTGATCTCCCTTTTTGGTATGGGCTGGGCAATGCATTACAGCTATGGCTTTTGGCAACATTATAGCTTGTAGGAGATCATTGACTTGTTTAGCATTTGATATTTTAGTTCCAGAGGCTGTCATAAATCCCCTCTGTTTTTATAATTGTCTGGTGGCATGACAGATTCCAAAGGCATATTTAGAATCAGTCCAAATATTAACAGAGTGGCCCGATGCTAATTGACAAGCTCGTGTAAGGGCAGTAAGTTCAGCTGCTGCAACTTTCTGCTCCCTGCAGAGCTGTGACCCAGACTACCTGCAGCTCAGGCCTAGATAGTAGGCCTGGCTTTTCCCCTTTGTTTCTTTTGATGGTCCTTTGCTCCAGTCAAGCTGTGTGGCTGGACTGGCTATAGCCATTAATCAACCTGGCTCCTTTTGCAGTTTGTCCTGGAGTTTCACTTCAGCAGGCCATATAATCCAGCCCAGAAGTGTTGTGGTACATGCATGCTGGCTGGAGCCACAGTCACACTGCACTGCACCAGTCAGCACTCTACCATTTCTCCAGGAGCAATGGAGCTCGTTGCAACTCAGAAGGACGCATGCTCTCAAGCAACTCCCTGTGGCACAGTGAACCCAAGGAGCAGCTCATAAGACTCTTGTGTGGGCCCCCCTCTCCAGCCCATTGTTGAAGGACAGGTATACGGTTACAGGCCCTTGGAACTACCTGTTGGGGAGCCCCATGTCCTAGACTGCCTGGGTATGGGTGAAGCCCTGCCAAGAGGGTGCCACCTATAGACTTTGTAGTTAATTGTGTTTTTAAATTATACCTAATGTTTTCTTTTGTTTTGTTTTAGTCTCTGCAATAAACATGGGTGTTTATGTTTACATTGCTTGTGAGGAGGGGAACTTTTTTGTTTATATGGGATGCCCCAGCAAATTCAGTGTTCCCAGATTTCTGGGTGGGGGCTTGAGCCACTGGTATAATTTATGAAGTACCCCAAAATGTAAACCCAGACTTTTTTTGTTGCCAACAGTGCCTGGCAGAAGGGTTACATTATCAAGCATGATTTTGGCACCTTTGCTCCATTAACTGCTAAGTGGCAGCAGCAACAATAGAAGTAGATATCATGTTTGCACTGTGCAACTCGCAAAAGCAATAAACTTGTATAAGCTTAGGTCCAAACAATACTTTATTCTAGGAAACCCCTGTGGCTAGGAGTCTTAATTCATATCATCTTACCGGAAGTGGACCCTACCTTCCCATGCACAAACTAGTTGGTCATTTCTGTACACATTTTCTATGTTCCTGGTGACTTAGAGGGAAAATTTGCACATCTGGGGGGGAAAGAGGATTAGAAAGAGGTGGTATTGTAGAATATGATTATCCCCCACTGTGGTAAATTATCTATGTAAACACTGGGAGGATATTGAAAAGAGTCTGCTTGATGGCTACTCCTTTTAATATGCTGCTGAGCATGAACTATGAACTATGGTCAGTTCCAGAGACTGAGTACTCTCTCTCTCTCTACTTTGGAGAATTATATGCATCCTTTCTTTGTCTGTAATTTTCCTTAATCTCATCACATCAAAACCTCATGCTTTGCTATTTGTGTAAAGAAAAACTAATAGCCTGAGCTTGGCCCTCCTGTTGCCTAATGTTCCAGCTCTAAGGTGCTTCCATGAGTCCCCAAGTGGGAAAGGATGATGATGACCAGGGTCCTGGTTTTCTCTAATTAAAAAAATAGCTAATTCTCTGATAAAACCCCCCCAAAATCTGTGGTTAAAATGAAAGGCCCTTACAGCTCCCCTGGCCCTGCTGGTGCCCCTTACCTCCCACCCACAGCCCCTGCTCCCAGAGCTACAGAGCTAGGGACCTGGGTCTGCATCCCCTTCCCCCTGGCAGGAGGCAGCAGCTGCTGCAGTGGAGCAGAGCCCGAATCCCTGCATGCTGGCTGCCTTCTGAGAGCTCAGGGAGGAGGTGGGGTGGCTCCCCACCACTGCGCACACTCCACGGGGGCAGAGGGGACCCATGCCCCCCAGATCTGTGGACAAGGCTTGGACACGCTGCTCTGCTACCCTCCCGCAGGGCCTCCACAGCTCATTGGGTGTGATCCAGCACTATGAACTCTGCGCTGCCCTGGCAATGCATCATTTGCACATGCTTCAACATGGGGCTGTGCTCCTCCTTGCTGCTTCCACTGTTGGTGCTGCACGCACAGGGGATGCATTGCCAGGGCAGCACAGAGCTTGTAGCAGCAAGCAACTTTTCTGCATGGCCCCATTTGTGGTGGGAGAAACCTCCCTAAGGTTCGTTGTCTAGCTGTAATTTGATAGACAGACAACGTGGGTAAAGAAAGACAGCTGTTTATTTGCTCGAGCAAAGACCATAAAACCAGCAAAAGACAAAATGGCCCCCCCCTAAGGGTGAGGTGATCTTTTATACTTATTACAACAAGGCAAGACTTACAGCGTTAACAAAAGCAATACTTGGGCGGTGCTTTTCAAATCTTTGTAACAGCATATTTCTATTAAGCTGAACTAGCACTTTTTTAAAAGCTAAAAGTTAAATAACAGTAACATTATAATATGTTAGCAAAACCTTACACAGTAGTAGATACTTCTCAAGGGCACAACCAGTGCACCCAGAACAATGGTTTCCCTGTCTTATCTTACTTCTTGCTGTAGCTGATTTTTCAGCACACAGACACAGATCCACTTTTTAACTCAGAAAATGCTTAATACAGTTAAAATGATTATTTGACACAAGCAAAGGCTTAGCTATCATTCTGCCTTGTGGTCAGCTGCATTGCTAGGCCACAGGTCATGCCTTGTATTCAGCTGTAAAGCTAATACTTCTTAATAATCCAAATTATTGTTAACCTAACAGTATGCTATCAGAAAACTATTCTATTTCAGGGCAATAACAAACATGCTCACCACATAAGTGCTGGTGTCTGCGCAAGTGCAGCAGGCTGCGCCCTGCCCAGGAAGCTGCTCTTCCTTTCACTTTCCAAGTTAACAACTGCTGCAAGATGAAAAGACATATAGAAGTTTGAAATTTTAAAAATGGACAGAAAAGCTACAATGAAACCCTGTAGCTCTTTTACTGCAGCAATTAGGTGTGGAGCTTGCTATGTAACATCCTGAAGAAGTTTTTCCAACTTTCTTGATAAATTTGGAGACATCTTTTGGAGGGCAGAATACATCTTTCAGATTCTTGACAAAAGCAAAGACTTGTTTTGGAGGCAGAACACAGCACAAAACTTCTCAGCTGGATCAGCCAGGTAGGTGAACTTCGGTTGATTGATAAACATTCAAGAGACCTTTTATACCCACTAAAACACCCCATTTTTAGGTAATGTAATAATACAGCGATTAGATGATCCTTTGCCATTTTGTTTTATTATTTATGCAAAAACTAAATTATTTGTACATTCACATATAATTTCATTAAAAATGCAGACATCATAGCAAAAAACAAAACAACCCCTCCCCCCGCAAAACCTCAAAAAAGAACAAAAATCCCCGAAAAACACCCAAACTAAACAGAAACAAAACAAACACACCCAATCTTTCTCTCCATTAAGACAAAGTTTTGTGAAAGAGAACCTCTTCTATTTGGAGTCCAGGAAAGAAAAAACTATTCCAATATCAGCTTGCATCATTTTCTTTTTACATTATTTTCTTTTGACCTTTTCTTTCTGCTGTTTTCATGCTTTGATTGTACACTTAAGTATTTTAATTTTTTTTTGAAAGAAGGAGAATAATATTTCCAGAATTAATCAAATTGGAAAATTGTATCTTTTACTGATTCGGAAATCAGTCAGAATTAAGCACATAATTAAATATGACTAGGTATGGAAATACATATATGCTGAATTGGGACCAATATTTCCAAAGACATTATAATTTTGCATTGACTTAACAAATGTCCATGTAGTCGATGTGGAGGGCTGGCCAGCAGGGATAACTATGATATAGCGTCAGGGAAGATGACCTATTGGTGGGGTAAGTCATGTTACAAGTGGTGAATTAGAGCATTCTTCAAAGTTTTGAATACAGGACAAAAAGTTTTATTGGAGTATCTTAGGGGACAGTAAAAATTTTTAACAATTCTCCATGCAAGTTTTTCAGCATAATGGACTTCTCTTTATTTTAATTTTTATGGACTTTTTCCAGTTCTTTTAGAAAGCAATTCACAACATATATTTTTGTGTTGTCACGAATTAAATAGAAATTAAAACAAATCAAAACAAAAATGTTCCTGAAGGTTGTTTTTTCTTTTTTTCCTTACTCCTTTAAGAATCAATTGAGAGTAAAAAATGCAAATCTACAGATTCCCAGCAATGCATATTTTTCACTTTGAAACAAGAACTTGCAGGAATACTTGAAACATTTTTTTAAATTGTTTTAATTGTCATCTTTTGTGAATGGAAACCACCAGCATACTTACAGGCTGGAGGATGACCTCAGCAGCACAGCAGTGGAAAGGGATCTTGGAGTCATACTTGACTCAAAGACGAACGTGAGTTGTCAGCGCGATGAAGTGATCAACAAGGCTAACTGCACTTTATCATGCATTAGCAGATGCATGACAAACAGGTCCAGGGAGGTGATGCTTCCCCTATATGCGGCACTGATCAGGCTGCAGTTGGAGTACTGTGTCCAGTTTTGGGCACTGCACTTCAAGAGGGATACAGGAATACCTGAAACAATTTTAAAATTGTTTTAATTACCATCTTCTATGAATCTGCATTGTAATGCTGTTTACTACCACTGCTTCATCTCTAATATAGAAATAAATAATGCTTTTCTTAAAGCCTGAACTCCTCAATTCCTGCTATTAAATGATATTTACTGCTCTAAGTTTTTTGTTTGTTTGTTTTTTACAGAAATTTCTAATCCCCATTATTCCAGAGAAAAGCCTGGACAAGGTTGGGAAATACTGACATAAATGTCACCATGTGCAGCTTATGCATCAAGGAATTGAATTTCCACCGTAGTGAAGTGCCAAAAATCCTGTTCTGATGTTTAAAGAACAGCCACTTAAATGATGAGGAAGAAAAAAATCCCACTTGGTTCCTGTGACAAACATATGAGGCTCGTTGTCCATGATTTGGTAATGCCCTGTAACATCTTGTCACCCAAGTGCTATTTGTAGCCTAGCTGAGGCCATACAGGCTGTGGACGACCAGGGTAGCAGAACAGAATTACTCCAGGGTACAAGTTGCTACTGCACTCCTCCGAGATGATACCATGTAGCTGTACTCTGTATGGCTACGCAATTTACCCATATTCAGAGTAAACATGTATTGGATTTAAATAATTATAATTGTGATTGTATAATGGAAAAAGTGAAGTAGAATTGCATTTAGATTCATACTCATAAAAGAAATTTATGTGCCATTTACTTGTCTTTGAGGCAAAACAGGATTTTGCCCTACGTACTGTTGTTTTGTAATTCCTATAAAACACTGAAATGTCATTTTGAGTCAACTTGAGAACGATATTAAAAGAGATTGCCAAGGGCATGTCTATGGAAGTGGGGGAGCCTTAACTTTCCCAGCTTCCAGAGTCACACCCCAGAGATCCTGGAAGCAGGGAAGACATGCAGACACTCCTGAGGCTGAGGGGCCTGATCCTGTGTGGAAGACCTTGAGGCACACAAGGCTGAGGTCCCAAACCCAGAAACCTTCTGCCCGAGGTGGCTGGAGGGTACAGGAAGCTCCAGGCTGCCTGTGCTCTCCTGCCAGAAAGAAAATAGGCATCCACCACAATAAAGCAGCAAAAATTATTGCTACCTGTTGTAGCAAACGCATTACAGTGTGACAGAGTGTCTATTTGCTTTAGGTTTGTGCCACCATAAAAAGGTTTATGGCATCACAAAGGCAACAAAAGCTGATTTCTGCATTGCTGTGCAGGATTGAATAGACACCTAGCAGAAGCCTGTGACCAGTTTTACACAGCAGTGGAAAGACTTCTCAAAACATATATGTCTTAAGCCAAGTCAAATGGGTTTCCCTTTTGATTGACTGGAAGTTAAAACACTCAGTTTAGGTCTTCTGTTCAGGGGGAGTAATTCCAGAATAGCCATTCCCAATTAACCCCACATGTCAAAACACTTATTCCGAAGTAAGAATATCCACAGAGGAAATGATCAGGACCACTCTTAATTTATACTCTTATTCTATATTAATTTCCACTCATTCCATTTTGTCAAAACCACAACTTCCCTTTCCATGGCCGAGCTCAGTAACCAAATATCTCAGCAGCTTTTTCTGATGAGTCTTTGTTTTCCATCAGTTATCCCACCAGACTGTCTAATACTAGGACCTTGGATAATTGCATCATTCTTCAGTACTGATCAACACTCCCCACTTTTGCCACAGCCATTTTCGCAGTACTCTGAAGATCTTGAGGAGAACAAATCTCATGTTGCCTTGAACAGCTATATTGGCATTTAACTGTATCTGGACCCCATGTTTTCTTTTTTAACAGTGCACAGTATTATGATTCTAGATCTTATTCATTTAATATGGCCTAAAATGTAATGAAAACTCTTTATCATCACCTGACTCAATACATGATTTTTCATTTAGGGAAAAGAAGGAGGGAGATATCAGGGATAACCTGGAATTTCTGGTTCAGCGGCTGTTCTAATTGTGCACTTTCCTAAGTTTATTCAAACCACAGTTGTTCCCCTTGTATACTTGTATGTGCTGTTCTCCTCCTCCTATCTACTCCAGTACACAAAGGTGGTAACCAGCGCTATATGTTCTCCAGGTGAATACTTTTCTGCCTTCCCCTTGTGCTTCTGGATCAAATCTCCATGAGGAAGATGCCTTCCTCATTGTGCCAGATCTCCAGAGTCTCCACATCGCTGCCTGGTTTTCTCACATTCTTCATTACTTTTCATATTTGCAAACTGGAATCAGGTAGGTATCTTCTCCATATTAATGTGTGTTCTTCTGCTGATGAAAGGTTTATTTAGTTTTCTGTTGACACATTGCACCAATTCTAGTCTTTTATGGAAAAAGAAAAAGAATTTGTGAGAAGTTCTAGACTGCATCAACATCATTGTGTAGGAAGAAAAAATAAATAAATCTAAAATAAAAAGTTTTCCTCTTTCTCCCTGGGCATACAGAAGAATAGCTCTTTATCTGTCGCCCAATCATATTTCCATACTTCTGTCCACTTCTATGTTCCTCATTCCCACAGTATCCTCACATCCTCCTTCTCTTCACTCCACTGGCTTTTCAAAACCAATATTGAGGAGGAAAATTCTCTTTTACGTGACATTTCAATGATTTGATATTTGTATCTAATCACAAAATGTGATTAAATCATGAAGGCACCAATAAATTTTATGAGATACAATGTTCAGAAAATGTCCAATGAAAAATGTTGACATTTCTGTTACAAGAAAATGCATATTCAGGATATTCTATCCTTTCACAGACAGTGAATATCTTAGGTTGGGCAGTCAGTTGCTGTTAAAGTTGCACAGTCCTTTCTATTTTAAGCCTGTGTTTTCAGGTATTTGTCATTTTCCCCAGTCGAGGCTGAAATTCTGCCAGGTGGTTATCCATCTCATGTTGAGTATCTTGGATTTCTCTTTTTACCTCTGAGCTTATTTTGGGGTGTTTTTGGTACATTTTACAGCCCTGTTTACAGTTGTTGGACCTGATCAGCCAATCACTGCCATTGTGGGGGAAGAGATCGTATTGCCATGCCGCCTGTCCCCCAGCATGAGCGCTGAGAACATGGAAGTGAGGTGGTTCCGGTCTGAGTTTAAAAATGTTGTGCATCTGTACCGCGATGGGAGAGATCAGTTTGGAGGACAGATGCCAGAATACGAGAGAAGGACAGTGTTTTGGAAAGATGACATCACAGATGGAAATGTTTCTTTGATGATTCTCAATATTCGGCCTTCAGATGAAGGGCAATACACCTGCCTTGTTGATGATGATATTACTTCTGAAGCAGCTGTAATAGATCTGAAGGTAGCAGGTCAGTGGCTTGTGTCAGTTTCTCTCTGCATGGTTTATGTTTTTTCTCTTAGTTAATATGCCAACTTCATGGAAACTATGTATAAATTATTTTACAATTAGACACTGTATTTCAATTTTATCCAGCTGTTTTTACATTTCAGAAACATATTTCAATTTTTGTCAGTATTTTAATAATTTTAAGCAACATCTTGAAAGCAGTTAGTTTTTCTTTGCTCTTGATTTCTCCGTACTTAGGACCTTCTAAGTCCCAGACTAAATTTATTCACATCCAAGTTTTATCCATTTTTTCTTGGACCAACATTATCTTTTAGCCTATATAGTGCTTTTTCCTTCATCATATTTACTCCCCAGTATAGATACAGATAGCAAACATATCCCTTTCTGCATATGTTTTGCTAGACTGAAAAAGTCTGTTCTCCCAAGATAAACCTTTCTCTTTTGAAATCCCAAACCTCAGTTACAGTCCTAATTTGCTTACTTTTCCATTTAATTTGAACCCTGTCAGTCTGTAGTCAGTCGGTTCCCTGGATTATGTTCTACAACCAGCCCTTCTTAGCAAAACTTTGTAACCATTCAGCCTCTAGAGAGACAAGATTTTAAGCTATGATCAGGACCTCTTTGCAATTTTAAACATGGAATTAAGATACACCTACAATCCCCTTAATTACCACCACTTAGTCATGCGTGGTGACCCCCTCCACATTTCCCTCCAGCCTTTACCCTATCTTTAAAGCTGGCTTTTTCTAATAATCTACTAACTGTTCTCTGATTGCCTTTGTTCAAATGTCATTATTTCATGGAAACTTCTGAAGCTGAACTGAATCAGTTCTGTTGTGGACTTGAATGATGTCAATTGGTTGGGATTTATGTTCCTATGAAATGTACACTTCTGGGAAGGGAGGATTTCATATCCCCTTCCTTTCACCTAATTTAGAGTTTTCACTGACAAGGCTGCTTTGTTTTCACATCTAAGAGGCTTGAACACAAATGTCTATTATAAAACAATATTCAATAAATTTGGTTCCATTAATCATTACTATAAGATAAAGCAATAATATAATATATTGGATTACCTGCTTTTGGCCCTTGTGCTTAACAATTTAGCCTTATGCTAGTTCCAGAGTCTGCAGTTCATAATGTGATGTTTTTCTCCCTGACCATGTCTGAAGCCTACAGTCTTTTATAATCCCCTCATTACCTATCAAAATCAGATCTGAAAGACCATAATTTCTTATTGGTTCAATGACTATTTGATGATGAATTTTCTCATCTATCACATCCAGGAATATCTAGGCTCTATAGTTGTTAATAGAATGTATACCCTGCTCTGCAATATCTAGGAATTTTTGAGAGTAGGAATAACATTTCCACAGTTCTTTACAAAATTGACTCATAGATTTAAGAAATGTAGTTTCTTTCTTTTTTAGCTTTAGGCTCTAATCCTGTTATCTCTGTGGAGGATTACCAGAAGGGCGGGATCCGCGTGACGTGTCGATCAGCTGAGTGGTACCCGGAGCCCCAGGCGCTGTGGAGAAATGGCCAGGGGCATCATATAGCATCGCTTTCTGAAATCAAATCCCCAAAGGTGAATGGCCTGTTTGAAACAGAAATTTCTGTTGTCATAAGCGGACATCCAAACCTGAACTTGTCCTGTTGGATCAGGAACAGCCTCCTTGACCGAGAGAAGGAATCCACAATTCATATATCAGGTTAGTTTCCATCCAAACCCTACAGTGAACTGCCTCCGCTGGAAACCAAGTGAAACAGGAAGGAAACACAAACATGGCTAGCATTTCCACGGGGTCATAATAGAAATCCATTGAACTGTGTGTTTGCGGTTTATCAGAACCTGGATTTTATCTCACTGCAACTTCTGAAATTTTACCTTAAAGAAACTGGCAGACACAGTCACTCAAAATCACTCAATGCAAGATGTTTCTGTACTCTCAGGTTTGCCTATGTGAATTTTCTGTGGGTATTTCATGCATATATTAGTAGCATCTATCTACCAGTGTTGAATTGTGAATTCTTAAAGGATTTTCACTGCACTGCAACATTGTTCATTATTTATCACATAAAATTCACAAGCGGTGTGTTGTTGCTCCTCGTTTAAGGGTTGTTAAGTGGGGCAGGTGTTTTTTAAAAGGCCTTTTCCATAGCAGTTGTACTCCTGAAACATTGTGCCCTTCCCTACATGTTCAGGGCATTTGCAGATGTGCTGCAGTGTGTGTGTGTGTGTGTGTGGTGGGGCTTTAAATGAGCTCAGCTCTGAGCTTTAGCTTAAAAGCCCCCTTCTGCCATTTTTGAGCACGGGAACACTGGTACACGTGATGCTGGAGGCTGCTGGAGCACAGTTGTTTTCATACCCCAGCAGACTCAGTTGAGTCTGCTCCAATGCACTGTAATTACAGCATGTTGGAGCAGCAGGATGCTGCACATGTATAGGAGCCCTCAGTGAGTTCACTGATCCAGGTCATAAATAGAAAGATTTTTCCTTTGCTGCTGCTGCTACTACATCTCAGGGTTATTTCGCCTTCCTCAGACCCACTGGGTGTTGCCTGCAGCCAGGGCTGGGAATTTTGCCTGGTGTGTGCCAGCGTTCCTGCTGGGGCTTAAACCCAGAAGATCCTGAGGTCTTGCCCAAGGTCCGACCACTTGACATATTTCCAGTCAAAAAGGATTTTACCCCCTGGTAATTACTATGGACTGTGGAGGATTTATCTTCATTTGTATCAGGGGAGTATGGCCTTCTTTCTTGAGTCTCTCAAGCATAATATAACAATCCACAAACCAAAAGGCATTGAGTGCTGTGCCACCCCGACTCCTGTTTTATCTGTGGCAGTTTAGGGCTTTTTGTCCTGTAGTTGTGTCAGGGTTGACAATAGGTTTTTTTTTTTTTTTTAAAAAACAGGCTTGACAGTGGGTTTATATAGGACAATTTGGTTAGAGAAGATACTACCTGAGGCAGGGGGCTGGACTAGAGACCCTCTCGAGGTCCCGTCCAGCCCTGCCTTTCTATGCGTACCTATGCATGTGCCCAATGCCTGCTCCTCTGCTTTCTAATTAGAGTGCATCAGAGCCGAGTCAATTAACTGAGTCTGCTGGAATGTTCTAATTAGGATGCTCCCGCAGCCTCCGTGTCACATGTGTTCAGTGTCCCCAAGTTGCAAAATGGTGGTGAGGGCACTTTTAATTAGAGCTCACCCAACAAGCTTTAGTTAAAGCACCACCACCATTTTGAAGCACACGAACCTGAGTACTTAAGACTTTGAGACACTGTAATTAAACATCCCCTGCACCCGCCCCACTCTGGAGCACGTGTAAAGATGACCTCCGATTGTACAAAATACACAACAATTGTACCACTTGCCTCTGGCATAAATGTGGCTGTGACAGGGGGCCTCCCGGGGCCGAGCTCCACGGCCCGCCCCGTCTCTGTGGGCTACCGCCCGCCTATCTCGCCCGCCACGCCTTTGATGATAGTTGGTTCAATTAAGATGTCAGTTAGGCGGGAGGTTACCCATTGTAATGCCCCGATGCTAGGGGGCACTCTGCAGCTCCAACCTCCCCTAATACCGCAGCCCAAGCCTCGCAGATGGCATCTTGATGTTCATCTCCTCCGGCCCCCACACTGGGCCCCAGAACCGTCCAAACAGGACCCCTCTATGATCCCTCCTGATCAGGCGGGCTCTCCACCTTCATCCGGGCTACTAGCCCCCCCAAAGCCATTTTTCCCTTTCGGGTGTGGTCCCCCCCGGGACCTTCAGCTAACTGGCCCTGGCCCACCTCCAGGCCAGTCGGGACCCCAGGCCCCTGGCTCTTGGGCATCCCTCGCGGTGAGCCCCTGGCCCTTTTGACCCTCTCTGGTCCTGTCCCCAGCTTGAGCCAGTCAAGGGTACTATCTCCTTCAGGCCGGGTCTCCAGCCCCTCACTCTCTCTCCGGGTCCGCCCTCTGGGCCCTTCCACAAACATAGGGTTACCCACCCAGTGGTGGGAGCTAGGGGTTAAGGCACCCCAATCCACCTTTCACTGGGATGATAACTGGCCTGGCATTTCCTGGGGGCTCCCGCGCCACTGAGAGCCCCACCAGACCACCCGCTCCCGGCAGGGTGCAGTTTCAGGTCATGCCCAGGACTAGGAGCCTCCTAACCATCCCCTTGCAGCTCCCCCTTACCTCCAGCTCATTCACAGCAGCCCTTCAGCCAGGCAATGTTGCACATAAATCCCAAAGCTTTACTCAGAAAAAAATCCCTACAGCTAGCAGTTGTTTGATGTTGGAGAACATGGAAGAGGATTTAAAGTATTTCTGGATGTTGTTTTTAGCAGATTCACATAAAGGTTGATCCTCTTCCATTACAGATAGAACAGGAATCCAAATGCTACATAGTTGCCAAAATTGAAGTTATATGGCTACATAATTTCCACTTAGCCATGTAAAGGTGAGATGGCATATTTCCTGTTTATTCATGACAAATCAGTATCAAAAGTCAGTTTGTTGGTTATTAAAGCATACTTCTAATTTTTGCATCCTGCTAGGAGTTGCTGCTGTCATTCACATCTCAGGCAACTCCTGAAAGGAAGTATTAATAAATACATTTGATTTGTTTTCACCAATAACAAACTAAAGCAAGCCCTGGGCATCTTGTTTTTCAGCTCTCTTTTTTCCAAGCGTGAATCCCTGGATGGTGGCGCTGAGCGTGATCCTAGTGATTGTGTTAAGTTTCATAATCCTTGATGTATACCTCTTCAGAATAACAGGTAAATACAGGGGGGGATATATAGTGTAGTTAGTGAATAATTTTATTCTAATAAATCAAAGAGTGTATGAATAAGATTTTACTGCAGCCAACCAAAGAGAGGCAGGTAGGCACTGTGCCACACACCAAACCTCCAGCACACCAAAGTCCAATTGCCAGGGGGTGTTGCTTGTCTGGGGGCCAGGGGAATCACAGGCTAAAAATAGCTCCTGGTTCGGGGCGGGGGTGGTGCGGACAACACCCATGCCTCCTCACACACACCGCTACCCCGATTCCACCAAACCCGCCTAGACCCTCCAAACCTCTTGCCATGGACCCTGAATGTCTCCACAATCCCTGTGATGCCCTGCACAATTCCCAATTTCCCCCTTGATCTCCTATATCCCCCTACTGTGGACACTGTCTTCCCCCTCTTGTGCCTTCCATGCATCCTGCTTCCCTCCCCAATCTCCCAGACACCTGCCTACACACCCTGCCTACTCCCCACAGCTCCCCTGTGGGCACTGCCTGCCCCACCAATCCCCCAAAGCCCACCACTACCCCTCCCATCCAAATTTACTTTAGAATAGGTGGCCATTTCTAACTTTAACTGCCCCAACCTCCTCAAATGCCTATACATACCATTAAGGAAAAGTGGAGCTGATCTTCCGTTAAAACTTCAATAATTTTATGTCCTTGAGCTAGGTATATGCCTTTTGACACACATCTTTACACTCACATGGTTAGTCAAACACTACAGAATATTTAACGTCATGCCCCCAGTAATCTGTAAGTAAACAGCTGCTCAGCACCACTGATGTAGGTGGGGGCTACTGCTCCACTGCTCTCTTCTGGTTTCAGAAGCAAATGAGCTTTTCTAGACTCGAGCAAACTCAAGAATCTCAAGTCTTTAGACTCTAGCATGTACAGGTGTTTACCTGACCTACTGGCACTCCAGAGATGCCCATTGTTTGGAGACAAGTGGGTACTAGATCCCATCCTGAAACCACTACAGGGATTTATGTACCACCAAAACATGTCCCTACACAGCTACATGGAAAAGTACAATACCATCCCCTGATACAACTCCTACTTGGAGCTTGCCCCTTCTACCCTGGAGCTCTTGAGCAGAGGCTTCATGCACCTTAGGCTGTCATACCAGTCATGCTACCGTACAGGACACCTCAGCAGCCTTTGACCCACTTTTCTCTTACAGCATCAAATCTCTTATAAACTTCACAATGTTAGAAGGCAGTGAACATGCATACAATCTTGATTCACCCAGTCCCATATATTCAAATTCTTAAAAAGCAGATAAAAGCAAGTTAGCACAGTCAAAGTAAGCACAAAACAGTTTCCCACTTCTCTCGCCCATGCACACCAACAAGGATAGGCGAAAAGGGACACAGTTCTCTGCAATTGGCTCCTGCGTACTACTGGCGGTATGCGGATAAACACCACAGAGAGATTGTCACACAGAAAACAAAGTACCGGGCTTAAATTTATGAAGTTGTAATGAAGCACTTTATCAATGTATCTTTTTTTTTTTTCAATCCAGGAAACCTTCAACGAGAACTTGGTAAGTTTTCCTGTGTCCAACACAGCTTTTCCCATGTTATTCAATGTAGCTAGAGCTAGCTGATAGATTCATACTCTCCATGCTAGAAAGAACAGAAACCTGGCAGCAACACTGAGATGCCGTTGGTTGGGAGTGCTTTGCTCAGAGCCCTTGGGCACTCCTTCCTGGCCCTTGTCATCGTTATTAGCCCAGAGCGCTGCCGCTGTTGCAGCAGTTCATGGAGTGAAATTGGAATATTAATGTAACTGGAGATGCAGCCGTTAATTAGTTTGAACAAGGGCTTAAGATGGCATCACAATGTGTTTGGGAATCATTGAAGGTACCTAAACATGTGCCTTGTGTATACAAGGTACCCTAAGCCATGGAGAAAATAGGCAGCTTTATTCTGTATCTACCAGAAACTTCTCAGTCGGGTCATAGAGAATGACTAACGGCAGTCCAGCCTAGATGGCAAAAATGGGAGTATCTCTGGAGCCAGGCCCTCTCCCAGGAAATGATACAGCAGGTCCAAGTCAGTGATGTATTTGGATACTGAGGTGCCCTGGTCACTGCAATGTAAAGAGGGGCCAAACAGCACCTAGAGATTTGACATCATTTTGATGGATGAGGTCTGTATGGTTTTATTGACATAAAAGATCAGTGTCCCAGCTAGTCCTTCCACATGTTGTCCCATTTGTGTCCAGTATCACTCTGGTCTTTCCTGGCTTTTGCTCGGGCCAGATGCTCCTCATCCAAGAATCCTTTTACAGCTGCATTTATTCAGATAAATACCACTATTTCTCTTTGTTTCAGGGTGGAAAAGAGCTGTGATCTGTCCAGGTAATGAAAGTTCATAGTGAATCAATGGTCTCTTCCTGTTATTTCAGTTCCCTTTTTCCTTTTTGGTCAAATTCTTAGGCTGACTAATAGTTGGTGGCAAGAAGTGCTTTTTCCTAAGGTCAAAGAAATCAAAATCTTGTATGGCTAGATTGTTTTGAAGGAACCTAAAATTCCCAACCACAGACAGCACTTTCTGTTTCCCCTTGTGAGTATAAATGGCAGGTTTTAATCATGTAAGTGCCTAGTCTTCTTTTGCACAGGTAGAAATACTATTTCCCTTGGCACCCTGGACATGTAACTATACCTGTGTCATCTCAGCATATGAGGCTGTGTATTGGCTAGGAAGGTGCACTGATACGTGTGTGTCCCTTCTGGATGTGTATTGGTGTTTAAACCTTGAAAATGATCAATGACCAGGAGTATGTGACTAGCAGGCATCAAACTGCACAAGACGGGGCAGCACTCTTGTATTTTAGCTCCTGCATTTGCTTGCTTAGGACACTTGTTCAGGAAACCAGAGATGTGGGTGCTAGGTGCCCTTTACCCCAAAAGGATTTGAACCTCTTTTTTTCTCTCTCTCTCTCTCTGATTTCCAAGTACAGTGCTTTAATCATCATAGCACCATTTATGCATTATCCCAGGTTGCCTTAGTCACTTCTTCTGAAACTGGCCTCCGAACCGTCACGAGAGCTAGAGATGTGGAGCCAGGAGAGAAAAAGCAAATTAGCTGGGTCTGGCTGGGTGAGGTGGCTGCAGCTGCCCAAGAAGAGATAGGGCCCTGTGTTGTAGCCTAGACCCTTGTCCGTAATGGGTCTAAAATCTCTCTGCTATGTGGCTTTCCAGGAGAAGGGTGAATAATAAGAATACGTTAAATCAGTCATACATTGAAAATATCCTCAGTTTTTGGCTCCTGCAAAGAACTAGTCACCTAGTAGTGGCATCTATCTTGTCTTTGAAAGCCTGCCTGGCCCAAGTAGAGGCTGGTTGGAAGAGGTAATATGAACGTGACAAAGAGGCCTGTAGGTCAGTAATGATATGGGCACAATTTTGATGAGAGGCATTTATTTAGTCTTAGACTCATACATGCCTAAGTCACTTGGATAGTTCTGAATATTGTACCCAAAGCCCATAATTTCTTGTCTGTTCTCTGTTGCTGTTTAAGCACGTTGACCCCCTTTCCTCACAGTGGTGCCCTGTCTGCAAAGACAAGCACTTGCCAGAGCTGGCAACTCTGAAGAGGAAATTTCAAATCCCCTCCTATGTGACAGTTCTCCCAGAACATTTGTATCTTATTGCCTGGAAGTAGAAGAAAACACTCTTCTGCCTGCTGCCAGAATTACTCCATGGGCCTGCCCCTTCCTGCATTTAACTCAAGGTGGGATTTTCCATTATATGAAAGGCAGCAGGAGCAGGTCTTCATTAATAGTGTTGTCATACTTCTAAAAAGTGTTTGTACAGAAAGTTTTCTTTAGTATCAACAACTATGTCACCAACAGTGATCTAAGAATATCAAAGACAGATAAGTGTGTGTTCCTCTGACAGAGAAGCCATTACAGTGTCTGTGTCTTGGTTATTAATTTCGGCACACCGAAGTTTTAGATCTATTTTGTCCCAATGTGACATTGCAGGCAATAATGCATTGTTCATACATCTCTTCTAATGAATTCTCATGTCTGATTTTGTGGTTGCTTTCAGGGCTGGGACAAACTGCACCACCTTTGGAAAAAGGTACAATGTTCAGATTGTATTAATTGCCAAGTCTCTCCAGCACTGGGAACCTATTAATTTAAATCCTTTAATAGATCAATACTATTGAGATTAATATATGTATTCATTGTTAATTAAGATTAATATATGTATTAATAGCTGCTGAACAAAATGAATGGAGATGTGTCCTCTGGCATTTCTAGACCAGTACTAGTGGATGGCAGGGAGGGTAATGAATGTAGGAATAAGGAAAAGGTCACCCTAGATATATCTAGGTTTAAAGGCTCTCCCTCCTATAGCATTAACTTATTCCTCTGTTGGAGATAGGATATTGGACTACATGTATCATTGGTCTGACTCAGTATGGCAGTTTTTATGTTCTTGTGTTCTTATTGAGTGTGCAAACACATAAGAATTGAACAGTTCCAAAATGTCACGGACTGGGAACTGGTTCACAACTGTTGTTTTTCAGAGGTGCCCATATGTGCAGTGCCCTAGCATTCAAAGTAAGATGGTTATCCTTTAAGCACTGAAGTGTAGTGGTTCTGACAACCAGGGCTGGAGCAGAGTGAGCACCCAGCCCAGGATGTCTCATAGTTGGTGGGTTCAATAGAGCTAATCAATAAAATGGGAAAAAAGAGGGGGCAATAGTATTCTGGACATATACCACAGTAGTTAGTTGCAGCAGTGGGCAGCAGGAAGGAGGTGGGAGGAGCAATGCAATATGGGATGTCTGGAGGACTGAGCAGAGCTATGTCACAGACCATTTGGTATCTGCTGAACAGTGAACCAGTTCAAAAGAACACTTGATTTTTCAAGTACACAATCAGCTCCAGAAGGTTTTAAAACAACTTTAACAAGCTGTTTTAAGTTCATTAAGATGCATTTAACCTAGTCTAAGCCTAGCAACAGACATTGCCAAATTGAAAGGGATCACGTTAGAAACTGATCTGCTTTACTTGACACATTGTACCACATTGGGTCTCTTGCCTGATGTGGGACAACAGGCGATCTGTGCCTCACATCAGGTCCTGCAGTGACACAGATGCCAGGGAATGCCAGGGTGCCCTGTGCCCCCTTGTCCAGATCCACACTGAACCACACTTCAAGCAGAGGCACATTTCAGGATGGGGTGGAGGGAGAGGTGGGTGCAAGAGCCAAGGTATCTCCAGTGTGGGTCAGTATGGTCCAGGCCTAGAGGCATAGGGCAGTAGAGATTACTCAGCTCCTGTGCCCCGCTACACTGGGCCTCACCCTGATCTGTTCCTCTGCACGAGGCATGGGTCAGTCCAGGACCCAGCTCAGGTCCCAGGGTGGAGGCCTCAGGTCACACAAATCATGGAGTGAAGGCACAAGGCACACAGTATTACCTGAGTCTCATTCCTCCATACCCGGACACACACTGGTTTCCCCACTTACAGTAATGTGCCCCAAGCCTCTCTATACATGGAGAAAACCAGGAGGATCCCTTAGAGGCCTGACGTGATCAGGATTGGGCCATTCAAGCCCCCTGAAGCTGCCAGAGCATCTGCCCAGGGTGGAGAATGTGTTTCTGCCCGAAGTGTTACATGTGCCCATGCCCAATATGATGGATCCCAATCTGGCAGTGGGTGGGGATGTCACTCCTCAGGGCAGGACCCTCACATCCTCATGCATTTCAAAGCACACCATGAGATGTGGCAGCCCATGACACAGTAATGGATCCAGATGGGACTGTACTGCCTCCTTCAGATCTTTCTTTGCCTGCCTCCTGCAGAGCTTTCTGAGAAGTCCTTCCTCCCTTCCTCCTGATCTCCCCCTTACCCCCAGTTCCCTGCCATGTTTGGCTACACAGCCAGCAAAGAACCAGCAAAGAGGCCCAGCCACTATCACAGGCCAGGCCTCCTCCACCTCAGCCGCTAGTTGCTGCTTTTCCTACCTGCCTTATTGCCTTTGTTATGGACAAGACAGTCATGATCTGTCGAATAGGGGCAAAATGAACTTTCTGTCTCTGAAAGAACAGCCCTAAAAATACAGAAATTGGAAATGGGAGAAATACGAATTAAGATTAAATCAAGGAGAGAGCAAGAAAAGTATGGGTATTTCAATCAACAAACTAGGGTGAGAAAGGAGAACTAAAATATACACCATAATAAAGGTACTAGAGAGAAAAACACTTCAGTGAGAAAACATGATAGGGCAAAGACTGGAAGGGCTGAGTATTGTGGGGCCAGGATCAGAATACGTTTGGGTGGAACAACAATGAAAAGGGACTTGAGGCTGACCAGAAAGTCAGAGGACAGAGCAGGAAGCTGCTTGCTGAATAAACCGGGACAAAGGGGCGTCGGAAGGGACTGGAGTTGGCCAGGGTGGCTGAGTGGAGGAGTTGTGTGAGATCCTGTTTGCACATTCATACACCAAGACAACATTGTCTAAACTGCTACTTTTTGGTTCTTCAGGTCTTTGTCTATCTCTACTTCCTTTCCTTGGCTTCTCTCTGCTGTTGCCTCCTACCCAGTACTGCTCTCTCTTCATTTGTGTGTCTGTTCACTCTCCCACAGCTTTTACTTCTTTCCTCTTGGTTTTTCTTCCCCAAAGTTTGCTTGTCATCACAATGAGTGCTGATATGAGAGAGGAAGCATCCAGCTTTTTTCTCCCCACAATCATCAGCCCTGTACACGAGGGTAGGTGACTCTCCTTTTATTTCCATTGCTCTTGGCTGGGGACACAGCAGTTCTTGAAACAGCCACTGACTTGTAGGGACTGTTTGGGGACTACTCCTCTAGACGCTAGTTCCTACAGGCACAGACAAATGGAGCAGACGCTTCCACCAAGGAATCTCTTACCATGAGTTGGAAGAGGAGGCACACTGCTATAATTTCAGTAGTTTTGGTGGTTGCTTTCCTTTTCCATTCAATCATCATGATATAATCTTTCATATTTCCTCATTTATTAGAGGAAGGGCACTTGATGACCAAAAGTTTGTCCAACAGCTCTTCCAACTATACTGTAGGAGCAATAAAAGATACTGCAAAACATCCTTGCCTCCTGGACATTTTCTGGACCATCAGAGCTCCAAAAATATTCCAACTCTCTTGATTAAGACAGCAAATAAACTTCCTGGGTTTTAACACAATTAACTTCTCTTTACATGAGTCCCTTATGGCTTCCTTGCGTCTTCTTCCCCACACATTATCTTTCCATTTTCACCTTAAGCCCTTCCTATTCAAATATATATTTTGCTCCAAGAAACGTTGGAAATTGGACCTGCACTTGAAGCCTGCGACATAACAAATCTTTGTGACATGTGGACTGTTCTGGTCCAAATTTTATATTTCTTTGGTTGTGACTTGCTGGAGTGGGAATGTCTCTCTGGGAAGTGACCCCCAAAATATGAGAGGGGAAGGTGGAAGAGAGTGTGATTGAAGACAGGCAGTGTACAGTGCAGAGGGAGATGAGCTGTATCCATACTCTCCCCTTCACACCCTCTGCCGGGCTCTCCTGAGCCCCCAGGGTCTCTCGTCCCTGCCTGTGACCGGCAGGTGCAGGAGGGGATCGATCCCGTGTCCCAGCCCTGGCCCAGCCGGGGTGTTCCCATCTCTTCCTGCCAGGGGGGAATCGGCCCTGCCCTTTGCTGAGGTCTCCGGGCTCCTTCCTGCTCAGGTCAATCCCGGCTTCACCTCCAGCTGCAGCCAAAGCTGCCCCTGCCTTGATCACACCCTGTCCTTGGGCTGAGCTCTGCTCCTCACACTCCTGTTATCTTCTTTCCCTGCAGAGGAGGTGACTCTGGATCCAGACACGGCTCATCGATACCTCATCCTGTCTGAGGATGGGAAAAGTGGAAGATGGGCAGACGCACGGCCGGATCTGCCCGACAATCCTGAGAGATTTGACACTTGGGCCTGTGTGCTTGGCCATGAGGGATTCAGCTCAGGGAGACACTGGTGGGAGGTGGAGGTGGGGGAGGGGAGGTGGTGGGCCTTGGGGGTGGCCAGGGAGTCTGTGGGGAGGAAGGGACAGATCAGCTTTAGCCCCAAGGAGGGGGTCTGGGCTGTGCGGTGCTGCGGGGGCAAGTACGAGGCTCTCACTGCCCCTGATCCTACCCCCCTGCCCCTGGACCGGGCACCCAGCAGGGTGAGGGTCTATCTGGACTGCACATTGGGGCGGGTGTCGTTTCTCGATGCTGACACCGAGGCCCCGATCTTCACCTTCCCACCAGCCTCGTTCGCGGGGAGCAGGATGTGGCCCTGGTTTCTGGTGCTGTTTGGTGAAATCAATCTCAGCCAGCGCCAGTGAGAGGGAAAGGAAACGTGCAAGATGGGACCTGTTCATTGTCCCCTCCTGTTGGCTACAAATGTCCAGCTCGGGATCCTTAAAATTGTGGTTTATTAGGCGGATTGAAAAACTGTAATGAGTTAAATCATAAACCTTGGGGCTGGTCCCCACATGCACACACGTACACACACTCTCAGTAGCAGGCTACAGAGTCAGGTATACCTATCCTACAAGCGCTGGAGTCTGTTGTAGAGGCTTCTTTCAGCATGGTGTTATCCTCCAGAAGGGGGTCGCCGGCTTGTCCTTCTGACTGGACAGGTCTGGTTGAGTTGGAGATCAAGAGGGCACCACTGAGGGTCACTTTTCACTGCTTTTTATCTGTCCTTGGCAGACTTTGGTGACCCCCCAATTGTCAGGATTGCCCAATCCAGGGGTCATTGACCCTCGTGGGACTTCCCCCCTCAGTGGCTACTGGATGGCATCTGTCAGCCCCAGGGGTTGTCCGCATGTACATGCAGGTTTGGGAGTCCATTGATTAATTTTGAATAGGGCTCTGGGAGTGGTCGATCTGGAGATATTCAGGCCAAAATTTGGTCTCCAGCATTGATTAACTCAGACCAGGGCTTCTAGCCCTTGATCAGTGACGTTTAGAGATTTCACGGTTGTTACATTGTCTTCTATCAAGTTCTTCGGTTGGTTGATCTGCTGTTTCCCTAGGTGTTCATTTCTGGCTGCTATCATGTTACACATTCAATCACTGATTCACTCGCTCTTTCAGGGGCCAGCCTGATACAGGGAAGGGCAGTTTGATTCTTGCCCTTGTTAAGAAGTGGAGCTGCTGTGTAGCAGAAAGCCCCCTTTTCCTCTTGCCTGCATTTGCTCTCCCCTCTTTGGATATGTTTCTCTTTTTCTACCTTTTCTTCCTGCTGCTCTCTTTCACTTTAAGATAAGGAATTGTGTTTTAAAATTTGTGTATGTGCATTTTGTATTCATAGTTTCATAGTTTTAGGGTCG